GCTTTCTTTTAAACTTACTAAACATTATTTCAATTTAAAAACAAACATCAAGTTGTCGCAATTGACTGTTTGTGGGATAATACAACCACAACAACAAAACTATATTACGTATCCGAAACGTCAATTTTATTAACGTAAATATCAAAAAATCAACCATTGTTTGAGTTTACAAATATTTTTAATTATTTTTTTTGTTTTTAATTAATGTTTTAGAAATGATACAAAATGTTTTTTTCAACTTATAACAATAAATATTATATTTTACTATAATTTGCTAAAGCCGACTTTTCCCACCAACTCTTTATTATTTTGGTTGTAATTTTTGTTCTGTTTTTCTTTTAATTTTTTATTTAAAAAATAAATTCACAAAACGATTTTTTGTATAAAAATTAAAAATAATTCCATTAAGATAATTTTATATTATTTGTTTTTATCTATTTTTTCGGGAAAATCACCTAATAATATTTAAAAAATATTTAAACAGTTTTGGGACAAATTTTTAAAAAACTGTCAAAAAGAGCAGTATTGGGTTGTTGGCGAGTTAACATGCGTCTGTCTGTTTAAAAAATTATTAAACTTTTTATTTATACATAATTATAATTTGTTTTAAATTAAATATATTATTAGAAATAATAATAATAATAAATAATAATAATAAAATAAAAAATAATTATAATTTCCAATTATAGTCGGGTGATAAAGGGGGTTAATTTGGGACAGAAGTAGTTAATTTGAGTAAAAAACTATAAAATATAATTTCTTTAACCATAAAAATATTAGAAAGGTTTTTTCAATTAACTACTTTGAAAATAATAAAAGAAAACCATAACTTTCTATTTTTGATATTATTCAATCTTTGAAAACAATAAAAGAAGAAGAGAAAGGAACCCTTGATGAAACAACCACAGGCAATCAACATAAAAAAGCAATTCAAATACAAGAAACCAGTTTAAAAACTGTATTTCAATATATATTCATGATGTATATGGTTAAAAAGCCAGAGTTTAATGAATTAACTACAATGCCAATCCTTTAAAGTGTCAGGTAATCACTGAAAATCCATCATTTGTTGAAATCTTTCAATCTTTCGTTGTTAAACCATTCCCATAGAGAAAGGAAAAGAGAAAGACCATTTTAACATTAAAACAATTGGAGTTGAAGAAGAGCAGAAAAGAAATGAAACAAAGGAAAAAACAAAGGAAAATCCTTTAACAAAACAAGTTTCAGACAAACCACAAAAAGTGCTGCGTTTTAGACTTCCACATTTTTCTAAGTGGACAAATTGAGGTGTTTTTGTTTATTTTTGAAATAGAAATTTATAATTTTTCAATTTATAATCATTTAAAATAAAAAAAGATAATTTATATTATTATTTTAATTTTAAGTTTATTTTTACCTTTAAATAGATTTTTTAAAAATTATAGTTTCAAAATTATATTTATCAAAATTAACTACCTTTGTCCCTTTCTAATGCTATTTATCCCCCGACTATAATTATACTTTTAAAAATTGTTCAATTTACTATAATTTATTATATTAAAAGTATTTAATTAATTTTTGTTTATTTTTAATACAAAAACAATTATTTCAAATTTTTTTTATAAAAATAAAATCTCGTTTTGAAACTATTTTTTTGATAACTACACAAGTCAAATTATTAACTTTTTGTGTTTAAATACCACATAACAAATTTAATGGCATCTTAGTACACTTTTAACCACTTTAAAAATAAAAACTATACTGTTTAGTTTTATTTTAATACCTATTAACCAAATTTACTAATTTGTTGTTATTTTTTGACCTCATTTTTAAACAATTAATTTCTTAACCATAACATAGCAATACTTTCTCTGTAATAACCAATTTCAACATTGTTGAATGTATTTCAAAAATTATTTTACTGAATACAAATACAGTTGAATTGACTCCATTTAATGTTTAAAGTCCAATTTTATTGTTCTGTCAAAATCATCTCTGATTTTTGTCTTCAAATCTTCAAGAACTGAAATTTGTCAACAACAGAAATGAAGGTATCAAAGTCTGTCCGCCATGTACGACGTTCTTGTTCATTTTCAAGGATCAAAAAACCCACTTGTGGGGTCGACTCGTTATGTTCTCAAATTCTATTTTCAAGCTCAGGAGATGTTGAAAACCTTACATCAGACACCATCACCAAATTTATAAAAGAAATGAAAACACAGGGTATTACGATTTTCCCCACTTGTACTGACCTTCCAATAGAAAACATCGACTTAGCAAAATGGGCACTTTTTAATATTCAAGATGTCAAACGCAAAAATTTAGAGATGTTACTCAAATGGATTGAATTAGTTCACCTGCCAATTACGGCGGTTGGTCCTATATTTAGTCCAGACAACTTTGACGACGCCAAACAGAATTATGTCAAGTTGCTCATCAAAAACAGTGACAAAGTTTTTAAATGCAAAGGCGATATCTTCCCCCACTTTGATGAGTTAGACAATGGATTTGTAGCTCTATCTCCACAAGACGCGTTTGATGGGCTTTTATACCCGGTGTGTACAAAAAGCATATTTGAAGGTATTTTAATCACATTAAAATACTTTTACACGTCGGAAGCATTTACTGAGTTAGTAATAAAGAAAAAAAGTTTAATAGAGAAGGAGAAGAACCACGGAGACTTACTTCTATTATCAAATGCGGCGACCTTGTGGTCGAACCTCTTTGAGAAAGAGACTTCCAAAGAGACGATAGAAAGACTGAGAGGGGTTTTTAAAGTGATTGAGAAGCCTGTTTTTGCGATACACATATTGCCTGCAGATACTCAGAAGAATGAGCCTGACAACATCCTTCGGTCAGCCCCGGAGAAGCGAAGTGAGTCGTTAAAAATGGCGCCAAAAAGCCCACAAACGTCGCCAAAAGAAGTTTCTAAAAGAAAGTCATTAGTGCGGTTAAAATCGTTTTCGGACATCAATGGAGCCATTATGAATTTTTTGCGACTGGACTCTCCTCGAGAACATAAAGAGAAAAAAAGACGGAGTACTGTAGTTGGTGACGATTTGGTAGACATCACCATCGACGAGAAAAAGAGTAAAAGTGTTGGATCGACAAAAGTGTCACAAAATGAGTTCAAAATGAGTGAATTAGAAAAGGAGTGTGAGAGTATTCATATAGAAGACATTTCGACGTTAAAAGTGGAATACAACAAGAAAGATAAAAAACTGTTTACTCTGAACACTAAAGAATTTGCTCAACAAATCTACGCTTTCGACTTTTATTTGCTCAGAAAAATGACGATCTCAGACTTCTTACACACAACAATGAACACACAAACTTATTTGCAGCAAATTGGTAAGTTGGAGGAATTGGCAGACTCTTTTTTACAGAACAAAGAAGGTTCACAAGTCGCGTTCGAGTTCTTTGTGGAAACAGCAACACATCTTTTGAACTTCGGAGACTATAATGCAGCGTTTTTGATATACTCCGCATTGGCATATAGTTTCGACGAATTTGCAGATGATTGGGAAAATATGAATAAAGCTTTCATGAAAAATTATGTTGTATTGGACTCGTTGTTCTTCGACTCTAAGACAAGTACATATCCTTCGCACTTCAAAAATGAAAGGTCTATATACACTAAAATACCAGTGATGAGTTTGTAGTTTGAATACTATTTAAATTATAATAAATTATTAATAATTAAACTAGTAATCATTTTAACTATATTATATTATAATTAATTAATAATTAATAATACAGGCATTCTATTGGGCGCTATATCAAATGTGTATGAAACATCGAAAGAAGACAAGAAGGCGGAAGTGCTGTTTGTTGAGAAGTTCAAAATAGTGCAGAAGAGTATTGTGCCCATTTGTAGTGTCTACAATACTAACCAAGTAATCCCATTAAATCGGGGAATACAGAAGTTCTTGTTTATTGTGGCGAATAGTAAATGAGTTTATTGTGAGTTACTTTTGACTAAGAAACAACACCATAAAACACTTGTGTGTACTGTAAATAATATTAATTATATATCGTCGGTAGTGTCGTTATCACTCGGTTCAACTATTTCTACAAAAGTATTTTTAATGAAGTCTTCGTCCTTGTTTGTGTTGACCATGGTGTACACCCTCGATGCAAAAGTCCACAACACACACAGAAATTGGACACATTGTACACCAGCCAAAATGTGGAGATAAAATTGTTCTGGGTCTTTTCCAATGCAGGAATATTTCAGACTCTTTTCTGTTGTTGTTATAGTGCATGTATGAGTCGAACCCTTTCTGTCACACATTTTCTTTGAAGTAAATTTGTGAAGTATCGGACAGTCGGAAAAGTATGTTGCATTTCGTCCAACATATGCCTTAACGTCGTCATCCTCATCATCGTTTTTAGCAATACTTTCTGTGACACAGCAATTGTTCTTACATTCAGTTATGTTAAGGATTATAATAATTATATTATATTTAATAATTATAATTTAATAATTATAATTTAATAATTATAATTGAAATGACGTGTAAAGACAAACCTCATTCTCAAAAATGATTCTTTGACTTGCGTCAATTTGTGTCCAGCTATTAGGAAAATTGGTGTAATAGAACCCAAAATACAATATTGTAAAGAACGTGACAAGGAAATAGACAAACGTTTTAAGAACCATCAAAACACGTTTTATCGCATCGTCGTTGGTGTATTCTGAGACGATAAAAAGAGAAAATATCATTTGGAATGCTATTAAAATATATAAATACACCTTTTTATTAAATGTATTACTGTCGAAATCGGAAATCGAATAAGCAAAAATGAACGCTAAAATCACAAATATAACATTAACAAAAAATGCGACGTAAAGAATAATAGATACTTTGAATATGGTTGGGGAATCATAATAATTCTTTTTCACTTGTGCAATTGGATCATCTACATCGTCCCTTTTCATTATACATTTTTAGTTTATTATATTATTATTGATATTATTATAATTATATTAATAAAACTATTGTTGTTACTAGTTTTATTATTTAAAAGTTTTAATATAATGATAGCAAAATAAAAAACAATTGATAAAAATAATTGATTTTTTATTGATTTTATTATAATTTTTTTAATTAATACAAATTTCGATATAAATTATCTAAGTAATAAAAATTAATTAAAATTATTTAATAAATTTGCAAATAAAATAAAATTTGAAAAACATTGAATTTGTAAAACACAAGATTTGACATAATAAAAAAGAAATAATATAATGTTTTTGTTTTCTAAATTTGTTATATCTTCAAAATAAAACAAAATTACCAAGTAATATAAGATCAAATTATTCTTTTGTTGTTGTGATATAATTATTTATAGTTGACATAATAAGATTTATTTTTTTAAATTACGTCACACTATATTTAAACAACAATTCGATAAGATAATATATCAAAAAAATGAAAAGTTTTAATGTAAATTGTTGTGATCTTATAGATAAAAAAATAACAATTTTTTTGTATTTTTATTTTATTTATAATTATTTTTTTTTTTTTTTTTGAACTATTTTATTACTATTTATTACTAATAATTGATTATAAAGTAATAGAATAACAAGAAAAAAACAGACAGTGAAAAATAGTTTATTAACAAAGTTGTTTTGATCAGTTCCAAATAATCCACAAATTGTAGTTTTTGGTTATAATTAGTTAAATATAATAATAAAAAAAATGTATTATAAACTACTTTTACATTATTGTGGTAAATAAATAAATAATCTGCATTTTATATAAACTCTTCTTTTATTTAAAAAAATTAATTATAAATATCTAAACCAGGGTCAACTTTCCATTATGTTAACAATAGGACTATACATCAGGGTCTATTTTGTAAAAAATCAGAGTTCAATTGGTATAGTCTTTGACAAATCATAAAAACAATGGAATAAATACTATAATTTACTCTATTATTTATAATTCAATACTTACGTTTTTACATAACCACGAATAATTTCGATTGTTTCCCATTAACTCAGTCATTTTTTTCTTAAGTTTTAGAGTATAAATAAGACTCATATTGATTAACAAAAAAAATTAAAAGTTAATCACAATTCTTGTGATTAAATATAGTTATTTGTCGAGGTAAAATTATTAATTTAATTCAATAAACAACAATATATACTAATATTTGTAGTTGTTTTATAGTAAATATAGTAAATATCTTGTAAATCAAACTCTTGATTTAAATTATTACCACCAATTCAAACTATTATTCAATTGTTAATTTATTAATTATTAACTATATTTTACATTATCATTTTTACTCAATAACTACACATTTGAACATAAAACAATCCTTTTTTCACAACAAAATCCTGACATGATTCGATAATTTTTCTAAAAACTTTTTTCAATAACACCCAGAGTTGCGAATATCCACCCAAACATACAGTATGGACACTCTGCCTTATGTAAAACTTTACCTTATGCAAGGATTTTATTATTTAATTTTAATATAACAAAACCATTTAAATAGTTAAAACAATTCAATTCTAAAAATACCAGACACGCTGCCTTATGCAAAAAGCTATTTTGAGGTTGTTTTTGGTTAATTTTGAACAAGAAAACCAGAACTTTAAATTAAATTAATTAATGTTTAAAGTCTCTACACCACGACTTTAGCCAACGTAAAGATAAATTCCCGATACCAGTTTGTATTTTTTTGTTTTGTAAAATGGTATATGATACTTACTACCAGCTTGTCTCGTCGCCAAAGGAAATACAATTGCGCAAAAGGTTTGTTAATAAAACAAACGATGATAACAAACTCGCGTTGTTAGTGTTTACTGGTACGTGAGTTTCTCACTTTGGCTGGTGTCCAAAACATTGAAATAAGATGGGTTGTCAATGATAATCGTTTTAAAACGGCCACACTCTTACGATGCTCATTGATCTTCCTGTTGATCAAATAATTCAAACAATTTTTATATCAATTTAGTTATTAAATTATATTAAATAGCAAATGTTTTTTGTCTATTAAATCGCTTCAAACACGAGAGTTATCACAACGTATGAAATATAATAAACACAAATAATATTCTTTATTAAAAATAATAATTTATTGTAAATTATTTGTTGTTATATTTGACTAACAATAATAAAATTGAAATCATTCGTTTTTTCAAATACATTTGTGTTATTTTTACCAATTTTTGGAAGAATCCACATTTTTTTATATTATAAAATAACTATATATTATAACAGGTTCCTTGCATAAGGTAAAGTTCCACATAAGCTAAAGTGACCATACTGTATATATTAACAACTCCTGAATATTTCTTCGTTTTTTAAGTCAACTCGAATCATTGAAAGATACTTACAACGGTCAAACAACCAGAGGTTTTATATAATAGCACATATTCGCGTTTTTAATTAATTTCTTAAATAAATTTTTTATAAATCCGACTTAAAAACCTTCTTATAAGTCATAACATTATTTTTTGATAAAAAGGTGTAATTCTATAAAAAAGAGGACTTCTGAAATATGGTTTTATATTGTAAACAGACTATAAATATCCAAATCTTTGTAAACTCAATCAGTTATTGCAACATGGCTATAGCCCCACAAAAGATGTACGAAAGCCAGAGAGAGTCTTTTAAGAAGAAACGTGACTACCAATCCCAACAAGAAGCAGTTTTACTTGCTATTATAAACACATTTACACCATGTACCTTACTTTCCCCAGCAAAGAGAAATTGCAGGAGCACTTCCTTCATCCCAATTAAAAAAATTTCACTTGATAAAGATGAGATCGACTTCGACACTTTTCTTCGTTCACGGCTCGACGATTTCTTTGAAGACGACATACAGCGTGGGGTCTCCTATCAAACTGCAGTGAGAAGGAAAAAGGCTAATATTCAAGCAGAGACTCTCAACTTTTTAGTCGACCTCATTGAGCACAAAGGGTTTCTTGTTGAATCGAAAACAACAACAGGGAACAAAGGGATATTAAAGGAGACAATGAGGCTTATAACAGGAAACGGGCTTTATTTAAGTAAAGAAGATATTGCAGTCAAGGGTGCTCTTCTAAATAAACACTTTCTTAATCTATTGCAGAACAAAAGAGACTTTGTTCTCAATGTTCATGACAAAGAGGTATCTTCTATACTAGGCTTGTAATTTTAAATGTTATAAATAGGTTTTAGTTTACTTTTTGTCTATAAATAAGATTATAGACAACAACATTTCTTATATTATATCATCTAATGTTTTAGATCAATCAAACAACAGATGTATATAAAAAATAGTTATTAAAATATAATAATCTTATTACAAATATAGTATTTCTATTTTAAATTATTTATTATTAATAAATAAATTACTTTATTAATAAATATAATAAAAAGATTGATATTAATTTGTTTAATAAATTTAGTTATAAATATACTATATGAATATAATAAATTGTTATAAATTAAAATATAATTCAACAAATTAAAAATCTTTCTGAATTGAATGGAATTGGTTGGGATATATTTCTAAGACAAATTTAAAGAACGAATACCACGTTGCGATTAAATTCAAATTTCTATTAATAAATTATTACCAGTTGTTGCAACTTGCTTAGCTGTTTGATAATTTTATATTTCGAAAACACTCGAAATCGAACCAAACACACATTTCTTAACACTAAACTGTAAAAAGTGTACTAATAAAATCAAATGTCTCAAATTAAAGTTGATACTTCCAAATGTGTTGGTTGTGGTCTTTGTTGCAAAGAGTGTATGTGTTGTGTTTTGAAATTGGAGTCTGGTAAGGTGTATGTCGATCCCGAGAATGCCAAGAAATGCATGGCTTGTGCCCATTGTGTTTCTTTGTGCCCGCACCAAGCACTTTCCTTTAACAACCAACCAGTAGTTCCTCTCCCAAAGTCTCACGAGACAGTTGAAGATGCTCTCCACACCCGTCGCTCAGTCCGAAACTTCAAAGGTGCACTTACTGAAGAACAGCTGAAGGAGTTATTTGCCATCACCTCTTTTTGTCCATCTGCTTGTAACCTTCGTCCAGTGAAACTTGCTGTGATCAACCGTCCCAAGATGACTGAACTTATATCTGTTCTAGCGAAGCAAGTAGCTGAGAGCAATGATCCCCAAATTCCTTCATTCTTCAAAGGAGCTTGCAAATTACAAGAGAAGTTTGATGTAATTGGTCGTGGTGCTCCACACATGATTGTCGCATATAGTGATGGTGGAGATGAATGGAGTCATGACGATGGATGTATCATGTTGACACAAATAGAAATGTATGCCGTCTCTAAAGGGTATGGGACTTATTGGTGTGGCTTCATGAAGGGTCTCTTAACTCCACCAGGTGCTATGGATTTGCTTGGACTCAAAGGAAAGAAATGCATAGAATGTTTGGGTCTTGGTATTCCAGACACTCACTACGTTAACATGATCCAAAGAGAGCAGACAGAAGTCACTTACATCAATTAAATCAAGGAAATCACTGAAATTTGATCGGTCCTTCGTTAATTTCTTTTATAATTATTTAAATGAATATAAATAGTTCTTTATAATACGATTTTTTAAAAAGGAATGATGTAATAGTTTTAAACTATAAATAACGCACCCTAACGAAGATACACTTCCATTTCACGTGGAACAACAAGAAATTTATAATTAAGTACACAACAGAGCCATCAGACGAGTCAAATCAAACTCTTAACCTTTCCAATTTTCACTTTGAGTTGTTCGTTAAGTCTCACGACCTTCTCGATCTCTGCTTTCAAGTCCAAGTTGAGTCGAATTGCATTTTCGATCTTATTTTCCCTCCAACATCGTAACTCTTGTGACGCAAAATCGATGTTAATACTCCCCTCCTTCTTCGATTTAACAGCTTGGAACACTACCCCGAAATCCCCATCATAAATCTTCGCTATGACTTTCATCTCGGCTTTAATCACATCACACATCTGTGTTAAACTCTTCTCTTGGAGTTTCAAGTTAATAGAAGAGGTGTAAATGGAATAAGGAGAACTCACGACCTTGTCGACGATATTGTCGATCGCAAATTTGAGCTGATAAATGCGATTGTTTTTGTCCAAATTTGGGTTCTGGCACTGCACGACTGCGCTCTGGAAAAACTTGAGCACTGGGGGGTACTGCAGAAATGGGATGAAGAGGAACCTGAGGAAGAGTAGTGTGTAAAATCCGTTCTTTGCCTGTTGTTCACCAAGTTTTGAATACACCTCGAGATAAATAGTGCGGAGAACCACTTTATGACAATCGGAGAGTTCGTTGTAGTGTTTGGAGATCAATGTGACAAAGATGTCGAAGAGGGACTCACAAACCGATTTGACCTCCTCTGGTGTTCCTGCAAGCTTCTTGTCCAGTTCAGCTTCTTTCATATAATCCACCAAAGCTAGGGTAGTCGCCTTTTTGATTTTAGATCCTTCTAAAGCAGTCATTGCCGAATAGAGTTTAATGAAAGCACCATTGCCTCGAAACAATTGTGTGCCTTTGGTGGTGTCTATTTCTCGACTTGCAGTCATTGTGATCAAATCGACATATTTTCCTCTTGAAGAGTAAAATGTCATTAAGGAGATGATGTGATTTGGATTGGGTAATTGTCGGAGTAACTGTGTGTCATTTTTATATTTGAATTTATATATAAAGCGTTTATGTAATATAAAAACAAACACCATCACAATACGCGTTTAAAAGAGGTGAAGGGGTTGAAAAGAAAAGTTGTCGAAGTAACTCATCAGTGGATCCTGTTTTAACCAGTGGAGAGTCTGTTGTGAAATTTGGTGTTGAAGTCGACGTGCACGATCGGACAGCGTCGACATCGACATGGAAAGACCTATGTGGTTTGTGTGCGATCATCAAAAGTACTGAAATTCCAAGTGATTTTAAGCTTTAAAAATGGAGGAAAGAATTTAGAAAAAACTGTTTTTAGTCTTGATAGAAGAATAATTATTTTAAATGTTAGAGGTTTGTTGGAGTGTTTTTGGTATTCCATTTATTTATAAAGTTCTATATTAATAACAATAAATCTATATAATATGGTTCATGCTAGTTGTTCTTTTGAATTGGATGTCTTTTGGTTAATAAACAACAAATTTGTCGTTTCTATAATAATCAAAGCTGAAAAATAATAATTGGTGGGGAAGACTCTTTGATTTAGATTTCTGTTTTTTATTTTAAAACGAGAGTTCATTTCAAATTTCAATTCTTATTATCTATTTTAAATGTTGTTTACTAATATTGTTGATAAATGAATAATATAATCATTGTTTATTATATTTCTTTATTTGATGATTATGGAGTTGGAAATATTTGTTGAAAAAATTGTTTTTTTTTAAACAAGGAGATCCATTTTTAGTTATTTTGTTATTAAATAAAATTTTCATGTGGCATTTTTAGCGAAATAAAACCACAATATGAATTTGGAAAAAACTTTCATTTAAGATCATTGGAAAAGAAGATCTAAAACAAAGAGGATCTTCACCAGACGCGAAAACGCCAAAAAAGAAACGTTCAAAAAGAACAAAAGAAATAATTTGATGATGTTAAATAATGGGGTTCAATAAAAAAAATTGTTTTTTATGTTTAGAAGACCAGATTATTGAAATATTAATAATTGGATAATGAACAAATTGGCTATAAATAACAATATGATATACTTTAAAAATGGTGTTTTCATTGTTAAACTCGTAACAAAATGTAATTATTTGAAATAGTCCATCTTCTTTTCCGTGGTAAATAAAAAATAAGAATTGTGTTTTGAAGTAATCTTGAAAGAAAGAAAGTTTTCTTTCATTTTCATTTTACTTTAAAGAAAATGAAAATGATTAAATTAAATTAATAAATTATAAATATGACTTCAATAATGCTTTTGCCTAACTGAAAGAATTATAAAGTTTCTTTTGATATTTATAAATGATATAATAAATATTAAATGTTTTATGTAATTATAATTAAATAAAATAACTCTATTTTAAAAGAATAATAATACAATAGTTCATCTTGTATTTGTATTGGCGAGTTTTTTGTATATCTCCTGTAATAAACCATGCACGCGAATAATTCTATGACCCCAAGAAAAAAATGGGTTCTGTAACTTAATATAATAAATTTATTTTTATTACGATTTTGACAACTGTTAAAAATAACATATTTGCAGATAAATATAACATTAAAAGCAGTTAATTGCTTGATATTATTTCAATTGGTTTTGATTATAAAGTATAATTCATTTTTGAGTAGATAAAGTTTGAGAACAATGTTTTACTTTTGAATAATGAAAGAATGATATATTTTTTAATCAGTTTAAAATGATTTATGAAAATAACAATGGTTGGATTTGTTTTAATGATAAATAACAGTGGTTCATCACTAAAAAACAGAAACATTTTGCATTTTGATATAATTTGTCGAGAAGCTGATAAAAACAACTCCAAAACATATCTTCAATTTTTAATATGTCATTAAATTCCAGAAACATGTTTTAAAAGTTAATAAAATACAATAACTTTTTGTTTAAATACCCATTCGAAAACATTTCTTTTAAAAAGTATTTCAAATAACTTTTTATTTTTCGTATTTCATCACGCATTACATTTACAAAAGAATATATTCTTTTAACCTTATTTATGTATTCTTAATGAAACTGATATACAATCAATATTCGATAAGAAGGCTATTCGATATAAAGATTTATTCGATAAGAGACCAAAATATAAGAGGGAGGTCTCTTATCAAATATTGAAAAAAAAACAAAAAACAACTTTTATTTTTTTTACTATTATTAAATTATTTCCAGTCCAAAACCTTAATATGGTAATACATAAACCAAATTGTCATTAAGTTGAAAAATATTCAAAATATTTATTAAAATTATTTTAAAAGCAAATGAGTTTTTCATCTAAAACCCAAATAATGTTAATTAACATGTCGTTAAAGAGTGTTAAATTATTATATAACAACAAGTGTTTATTTTGAAAACCAAGAGTTGTCATATTGCTCTTCATATGTTCTGTTTAAATGCTGTTTATGTTGTCTGTCAATATTTTGATTTTATAACGGACGTTTTGTGTTTTAATAAACACTAGTAAAATAAAGCATTTGTTTTTCATATTATAAATCACAAAAGTTTTTATAAAAAATGGCAAAAAAATTTTTTGGGTGAAAATATAATTTGGATTTATGTCGAGACAAAAAACAAAATGTGGTATTTTTTGTTAATTATTCAAATTTTTATTATTTGACCTTATATCAAATAAAACTGGAACATAAACTGGACTATTATCGAATATATACTGTACATATTTTTTCTTATTGAATTGCATCATATACATTTGACCAAGTAATTATCAGAGACTAAATTAAAGTCAGAAAATTGAATTTTCCATCGCAATAAAACTGTTAAAAAAGTAGTGAAAAAAAGGTTCACCATATAATACTAAGAAACTTAAATATATTTTTATAATAGTTCTTAAGTAAAGTTTTAAAACTATTTATTATACTTCTTACAATTATTTGGTCTCTAACTACTAAAAAAACTCAAAAAACTATATTATTAATTAATAAACTATATTATATAAATATTATTAAAGAGCACCAGAAAACTGTCATACATCAGAAAATAGTCGTACACATTGTTTTAAGGTTTTTTTCTGTATAAAGTCGGGTTTTTATTTTTTCAAAACCCAATTTTTTTCCTGATTGTTTAGTCAAATTTGATATGTGAAAAAATATACCCGATTTTTTGGTTTGTTTGATACTAAAAACACAAGTGTACGACAATTTTCTTGCTGTACGACTATTTTCTGTTGGTCTTTAATTATTATAATTTGTATTATAAATTATTAATTTTTTTATAATATTCATTATTTTTTTGCAAAATAATTAATTTTACTATATTTTTATTATAACAAAACAGGTAAAAAATATCAGAATTTCTAATAAAACTGATAATTAATGAATCAATTAAAAATAATAATTAATACAATACTATTTTTTAATAAAGACTCAACATAGAAAAATTGAACAAATAGAATATATTACAAATCTTAATGAGTGATCCCATTACAGTAGTAGCAACATGGACTCCGCCAAAAACGACCGTGGCGACACTCGAATGGTTAAAAGTGTCTGAAGGAATTGCGAGAAATTTACTTAAAAAACTTTCTAAAAGGGATTTGGTGATTTCGAACTTGGAAACCCTAAACGAAAAAATAGAGCAAATACTCTCTTATGTGCTCACACGACCAGCCTATAACGCATTTGGATTGTGTCTCTTTGCGATCCAGTCCAGGCTTAAAATACGTATGACCAATCCATCTGTCTTACGTCCGTATTATGCAGACAAGAGTGTGTTCATTTCAAAGGAAGACGCACCGTTCCATCTAAGTGAAATAAAAACGTGTTTGGCTTCGGACCAGTACGAGGTTATTCCTTCATTTTTTGAGTGTGTAAAGAGGTCAGAAGAAAGGAACAAAATTAATGCAACTGAAATTGTTTCAGAACTTCTTTGGATGGTGTGTTATCGATTTATTCACACTCAAGATAATAAAGAGTGGGGCTTTTTGAAAGAAAGCTATGAGGATGGCGTACTCATTTTAGACGAAAATGGGTGTATTGAGCAATTTAAAAATGCGATGAAAATCAGTTGGAAGTGTAAAGCTAAATACCCAATTTTGGCGGCGCTTGCAAATAAATGTGTCGACAACTTTATTGCGATGAAAAACCAAATAATTCCAAATATTTTTGTCGCAATAAAAGAAACTACTTTTAGGTCTTCTGCTATAGCACTTATGGTCAAATTGACTCGACTCAAAATTGCAGTTTTCGAGGACTTTTGTACATTACTGGAGACGAATTTGGACTGTCTTGCGTTGACAAGTGCTATATACAATAACATCAAAGACGACTTGGAACAGTTTTACATTAAAACTCCACTTTTGGCTGCAGCAACAGCGAAGTTAAATAACGTTGAAAGTGATGTGATTTTAGAAAGAATTGACAAAGACATCATCGCAAGTGCCTTCACAAATTCAAATTCGGAAAGTTTCAACGTCGTTGTCATTTTTGTACTCCATAGCGAACAAACCCGAGTTAATGCGACAAATTATGAAGTTGAAATGAGTATTGAAATTGTAAAAGGAATTTGCGACTGTCCAACAAAAGAAACGCAAAGCATCGCATCGATTTTCCCAAAGTTTATTACCCGATGCACTGAAGAACAAGTTTCGACGATTTTCGACCATATTGCCAAAATTATCGAAACCCCATTTTCAGAAAAAGTCGACGCATTTTTCCTTCAAGTTTTCGCTACTTTACTTAAAACCACCAAACGAGTGGATTTGGCCACAGTGGTCGTTCAAAAGTTATCACAGAAAGTCTTTGTTGACTTGTTGGTTAGGTCATTTGCGAGTCGAACAGATAAGTTGAGATCTTTGGCTTATACTTTCACAGACTTGATCTTGCCACATTCATCAAGTTATTTGGATGTCATTAAAAAAATTTTCAAACCACAAATGTTGTTGTCACTCAGAGCCGCGGAAGCTGATTGTGCGGCACAACACTTTTCACTGCTCACGAAGCTCAAAACACCTCCACTTCTGGTTTTAGAAAACGGAGACAGTCTTAACGTCAACTTTTTGTCGCAGTCGCCAGAAAGTGCAATTCAGGCGATAGTCAAAATTATTTCAGAAATTGCGACAAAAATCAAGCCAACCAATTGCGAAGTATACAAGAAAAACTGTTTATATGGACTTTTCAGAATATTACAAATCTTACACAAAGAATCGTTGGGATATACAACAGCTATTGAAGTAGTTGAATCAAGCGACGTTTTGTTGACTCTTCCGGCCCCAGAAGGGAGTAACCGGTCAATGGTAGTTGGTGGCTGGATGAGTGTTCGTGTCGCTTCCGAGATCATTTCCGTTTCAACGAAACAGGACTTTTTGCGTGGCGTCACGTGTTTAACCAAAATAGTTCGGACCGCACTCCATAGAGGGATTTTCGAGAGGGCGTCGATGGCTCTTGAAAAGAGTTTAGAATGGAGTACTGACCAGTGGTTAGGCGAAGAGGTTGACAGGGTTTTAGACGATGTTGAAAAGGAAGTTAAGTTCACAAGACGAAGTGCTGGACTTCCGTATCATTTAGTTTCGTTATTGAATGAAGAGTGTCGACGTGTTCGATCTCCAACACAGAGCCCGCCATTGTTAGAAAAAGTAGTGAAAGTGTTAAATAGTTATGAAGGAAAAAGTTCTATTCATGCGATGAATATTTTAGGCGCAATGGTTAAATCACAAAAAATAGCTGAGGAACTCGATTTGTTTTTCCCGACCATTTGCGTTGAAAAGAGTATTAAAATGATTGACGACCCCGATTGGAGTGTGAGGAACTCTGCTTCAATTTTAGTCTCTTCGTTGATCAAAAGAGTTTTTGCGACAAAAGAGCATTATAATCTGACGCATTTGTCTGAAAACCACAGAAACATTTTGAAGGTATTAATAGAAGGGTTGCGCAAAGGAGGAAATGCGGTATTTATAGTATCAATGATTTTAGAAAATTTAGATTTTTTGAATACCAATGACATTCCAGAGGAAAGTGAGTTTGAAAGAAGTGAAAGAATTGCGACACACCAAAAAAGCGACTTTTTGGAAGACGTTAAAACCCTTGAAAATGAATTGGTCAAAACATGTTGGAAAGAAATGAATGCGCCGAATGTGGAAATACTTGCTGAAGGGATAGTGAAATGTTGTACTAGAAATATAATCCCAAAATTGATTGAAAAGGTGAATGGAGTTGTTTTGTGTGCTGTCAACAAATATGTCCGCAATGGAATACACTTAACTCACACCGAAATTTCAGAGATCCGAAAATTCAAGCCTGAAAATTCGTACGAATGTTTCCAGTTTCTCAATTTGTTGAATTCGTTGCACTTTAAGTTACCGAAAATCACACAATTTCGAGCTACCGAAGACGACGCATATACATTAAAAATCGTTCGTCTCTTGAGTTACAAACAAGCTGAAGATCCGTCTGAGTTACAACATCTTCTTTTACATGAAAATGTTGTAGTGAGAGAAAGTGCACTTGCATTTTGTGAGGAACACCCACAACAAGTCGATCCAAAAATGGTTTTCAAGCAATGTGAAAAGCTTCTAACACAATCAGTTCCTCATATTCTCTGTGTTCTGCGTACCATGAGAACTATTTTAGTACAGTACCCTTCTCTTGTGCTGGAAAATAGTTCTTCAATAGTTTCTCAAATTAAAACTTTAATTCAGAGTGAACCATTGTTGACAAGAACTGGTCTTGGAGTGGTGCTGAGACTTGAAACCCAGAATACGTGCGATTTTTCAAGACTTGATAAATGCGATTTTAATTTTGCGTTAAAAAATGTCTTTGAGAAGAATAAGAAAGAAAATGTGATAGGCCTCATCGACGCACTCTTGAACAATGAAAACGCTTTAGATATTTGTTTGGCATATAACCAAGTATTTGGAACAAATTTGGATGTATTTCATTTGGTCAAATTACTGTTTGTTTTATCTCATCAATGCAACTCGTATTGTTTCTCTTTTATTCGATATTAATAATAAATAACATTACAGTTTACATGAAGAAACAGAAGAAAGTGGATATGGCGTTTGCCATGTGTTACTCAAAGAAGAGATGTTTGAAGAGCTTGATGAAAATACAC